TATATATATATATATATATAATTTGGTAGTTTCATACTAGTCCTACCATATACTAGTAAAAGAGAAACTCACCAACCACAACATCAAATATACTCTAAGAGTTTTGTGGGGTCAAACATAATACAAGAATATAATGTCACTAAATCTAATTTTATCTTTATCAATATATTTTTGAAGTATTTGAAAATAAATTTTGCACATATTTTTCTCCATACTATCAAATTACCATTGAAAGTATGAAACCTCTTTTGGAAATATTATTCGACAAAAGGATTATAGTGCTTCAATTCTCTTGGTCAATCTTTACACATTATCAAAGTTCATTCCATAGAGGCACCTAACGTAGGCACAAAATTATTGACTTTAAGTTACTAGTCCTTTTTGTTTTCTTGCTATCACAATTAGATATACCACTAAGTATTTAAAATACTAACAATGAAGACAAAAATTTATACAATATGTTTCTATTTAACAATTAAATTTTATATTCTTCAAATAGTCAATCGATTGAACTTTGAATGTGGATGAAGTTTTTATGACTTCAAATCAGTTTCAAATTCAAATGGAGTAGAAAACTAAAAGTACAACACTGACTTATTAGGTGAAGTTTTCATATTCTTCAAACCATTTGCACAGTCTAATTTATACAGAGTAGAAAACTACAAATGTTTTTAGTCTTCGAAAATTAGATATTATCAAATTTTATAAGGAGTATAAAACTACAAAAGTTTTTCTTTTTATTCTCCAAACAGAATAAAACATATTCTTAGATTATCACATAGATATGCTTTTCTTTTCAAATATCCTTCCAACTAAAACATTTTGACATAGTATCTTATCTAACCAAAATATGCATATCTCATTTTGTAAACTAAAGAATTTTAAAGACGACACTATTTGCTAAGAAAAAATCATTCAAAAAACATATGGTTTGTAGATCTTTTCCAAAGACATACGATATTTATCATGTAAACCTTTAGAAACTATTTTCCTCCTTATATAAATAATAAAAAGGTTACCTGATGTAATCTTTAACTAGAATACCACCAATTCTTCTGGTACATTATCACTTCGACCTTGCAAAACAGGGCACCAAATTCTAGAAAAGTAGTGCAGTAATCTTGTACTTCCATGATCAGTTTCCCTCAATTAGTAGAATACAAAATATACCTGCAGTATATTAATTTCCTTAAGATAATTAGTGTAAAAACTTTGAAGAACTTGGTAAGAAACAACAAAGTTTAAATAGTATTTTCCAAACTAGAAAATTAAATCAGTAGAGAAGAAAGAATTAGAAACATATTAGAAATAATATATGAAATATTTTTATCAAAGAAGAAATCGAGCCCACTGAATGAAAAGCATGTCCTTAAGGAAATTATTTCCCTCAAGTACCCGAGGTTAACTGAAAATACCCTCTCACGATAGAATGTTCTTACTCACCGGTGCATCGATACATATACCCATAGTGTCAGTGAACCACTTAGTGATAGTAGATTACACTTAGAATGCTAAATTTTGTAGTAGAAGAAGTCTAGAAAATTGGTTGTTATAAAATGAGAGGAAATATATCTATTTATAGACAACAAAGGGTAGTATGAATAAATGTTTTTGTGCCTTATCGGAAAGGTCACAACCCTTGAAAAGTTACAACCCTTCTGAAAGGTCACAACCTTTCATAAAAGTCACAACTCTTCATAAAAGTCGCAACTTTTAATTGAAGTCACAATTCTTCATAAAAATCGCAACTCTTTACTTTCCATTCAAACCTTTTAAAACCCAACAAGCATACTGTTAAGGGGTAGGGGGACTTTGTAGAGACAAAGCACACTATACATTACTTTATATGTTTTTCTATAATTGAGTCATTTTTATTATTTGTATTTTTTTAACTACACATTGATTGTAGTTAATTAATTGAAGGTCTCCTCATTAACGATCCCATTAGATTTTGCTATTCTTGAGGAGATTGTGAGATTAAATTTTTGTTGAGCAACATCACTTCAAAGAATTAAGATATTAATGATTGAAATTTTATAGTGAAGGTTAAAATAACAAAACTTTGACGCAATCTAAGTGAATAAATTAATTGGTTACGTAATAAGGTTCGTTCAAGAGAAAACATTAAAAAATTATTATATTTGACGTAAGAAATGATCCATTTTTTAAAAGATTATTGATTTACCATTTTTGTTCCTACTCATCAAATTAACTAAAATAATATTCAAAATTTACCCTCCGAGGTCCTGGCTCCTACTCAGCAAATTAAATATTTGGGAAAATATCACTAAAATTAAAATTTAAAATTTACCTTCTTGACACCTACTCATTAAATTAAATAAAATCCCAAATTTACTCTCCTATATAACAACGCATCAGATTTAGTAGTGTCTTCTCTTTTGGACCCTGTTGTAACTTCCTCCTTGTATATAGGTTATAGTTAAGTCGTACCTTTTTCTTAGTGTATCTCTTTGCAGTAGAAGTTGTACAAAATCTATATATACTGAGTTTACAATCAATAGAACACATCGTTCCTGTCATTCTACTGGCAACTTTATACTTTATATGGTATCAAGAGCCAATTAACTCTAACGAGTAAATTTCTGTCAAGAATCCCTCCCAGCCTTCCCAGAAAAATGGCCCCAAACATCACTGTAACGAACTCTAATGCCAATACAACGATTTTTCAGTTTAATCTTGTCACCTAGTTACCAATCAAATTAAGTGGCAGGCACAATTTTTCCCTTTGGAAAGCACAAGTGTTCATGCTTATGCGTGGTCACAATCTTTTTGGCCATATCGACGGTTCTCGACCCGCCTTTGCTCGTACAGTGTCTCAAAATAATCAGGACATCAAAAATCCTGCATTTGTTTCATGGTATCGCCAAGATCAACTAATTCAAAACGCCATCTTGGCCTCAGTTGATCTAACTCTTGCTGCTACGGTTGTCGCTGCATCCACTTCCCTGGCTACTTGGGATGCTTTGCACACTGTGTATGCCGACAAATCGCAAACAAGGATCTTTAGTTTGAGCGATTGTCTGGCTCGCCTCGCAAAAGAAACCTTTCCTATCGCTGATTATCTGCATCAGGTTCGTTCTCTCTGTGATGAACTTGCCACTGTTGGAGCTCCTGTGTCCAAGAAGGAACTGATTGTCAAAATCCTCACTGGACTTAGACCTAAATTCTTTGAAATATCAGCTACTATTCGTGTAAGAGATTCTACTATCTCTTATCTAGAACTTTATGAGAAGTTACTTGACCATGAACTTTTCGTCAAGCATGAAGAATCAAAGAAGCCACTCTTAACACCCATTACTGCTGCTATTGCACAGCAAACAAACATGCATCCTCGCCAAGGAAACACCTCTAATAGGGGTTCAAATGCAAATTCCCCAAACACCGACCAGTGAAGGCGTACCCAGCCATGGCGTGCTGGCAACAGTAACCAACAACAGCGTTATGACCACATTCTGAAGTGCCAGTTGTATGACCGTCCTGGTCATTCTGCTAAGGTTAGCAGATCACAATCACACGATCACATACAAGCCCGGACAAACTATGCTGCTCGATCTCCAACTCAACATGCTCCTTGGATTATTGATACGTGTGCCACTCATCGTATGGCCTCTAATGTGCAAAACTTCACTGATGTGCACACCTACCATGGTCTAGAGGAGATAGAAATGGGGGACGGTAACACCATTCCAATATCTCATACTGGTAACACTAACTTAATTGCATTGAATTAGCAATTTAAGCTTCTCAATACTTTATGGTCTCATTCTATAAAAAATAATCTTCTTTCTGTTTCCAAATTTTGCCACGATAACCGTACATCCATTGAATTCTTTCCTTTTTATTATTGTGTGAAGGATCTGAGTACAGGGACGCCTCTGTTTCGCGGGCAGAATCGAGATGGGCTATATGAGTGGCCGTCGGGCAGTGCACTTTATACACCTCAATGCAATGTTGTCGTTCCTCTACACCTGTGGCATCAGCGGTTTGGCCATCCTAATCATCGTACTTTAAACATGATTTTACATCAGTTTTATCTTCCAGTTTCATATTCTAGAACAGCTTCCATTTGTAATTCGTATTATTCTAATAAAATGCACAGGTTACCTTTTTCTGAAAATTCATTACAAAGTCAACGACCATTGCAAATAATTTATACTGATTTATGTGGGCCATCTCCTATTTTGTCAATTGATAATAATAAATATTATGCCTTATTTGTTGACCAGTACACGAAATACATTTGGATGTTCACTGTAAAATAAAAAAATGGAAGTTCTTGATGTCTTTCAAGCTTTACATCCCTTACTTGAGCGTCAGGTTCAGGCCAAAATTATGTCTCTCTATGTTGATGGTGGTGGTGAGTTCCAAGGTTTATCCTCATATCTCACAACTCATGGTATTGAACACTTAGTGACACCACCATACACGCCTCAAAGAGTGGCATCAGTTGAACGCATACACATGCATACAGTTGAGACTGCCAAAACCTTGTTGCATCAAGCCTCCTTGCCCTCACCTTTTTGGAGTTTTGCCTTTTCGTCGGCGATAACAATGTCATCACCGAGAATGGCTTTCCTCTTGGTCCGAGGAAGGGGAACCCCATTGTGCTGGCTTGGCATGGTGGAGACTAATTCCTTCCGGCTAATGAAGATACTACTCCAGTCTTTCCAGTGGATCCTGCCTAAACCAAGCAAGATTCAAGAAGAAACTCACCAAGCAGTCTACCTTATAAACCATCTAACCACTCCAAATTTACAAAATAAATGCCTTTACAAAATTTTATATTACCCGTGGCTTAAACCGTATGCCAACAATAAGTTAGAGCCAAAATAGACTTCTTGTGTATATCTAGTATTTTTTAATAAACATTACTACCACCAACGTTTTGATCTCGTCAAAAATAAATTGTACTTATCTAGGGATGTTCAATTTTTGGAAGACACGTATCCTTTTCATAATATTTTTTCGAATCTAAAAATCCAACAGAGCACTGATATCGCTTAGGAAATTTATTCCAATGTTCTACCTGTGACTAATAAACCATCAAGTTTCGATTATTGTCATCCCCTCAAATATGCTATGCCCGTGCACTCTCCACTGCCCAACTCAATGCCTGCCAGATCAGTAGGTGTCTCCGTTGCATCAGGTAATTCTCAGACTTTATCATCTCTATCATTGCCACACACCATTACACCACCACCGGATAATAGTCAGCCCCCACCGTCACCCAGACCATTAATGACCTATCAACGCAAAAATCACCAACAACTAACTACCTCAGTGTTACCACTCCCTTCCCGTATACCTCCCACCAACGTACCTTCTCAGTCATCTGCCAATAACCCTTCCCAACCTGCACTTGCTTTGACTCTATATGATCCTTCACCTGTGGAGACAACTCCAAGCCATCCTATGGTCACACGCTCCAAAACAAATAGCCTCAAGCCCAAGCAGTTTAGTGTCAGTGTTCAACTCTCCTCGTCTTTTGTTCCTCGTACATGCAAACAAGCACGTCCTCACCCTCACTGGAAAGAAGCGATGCAAGCTTAATTTGATGCACCTGTGAGGAATTGGACATGGGATTTGGTTCCTGTTACTCCTTCGATGAATGTGGTTGAGTGCAAGTGGTTGTTTCGTATAAAACATAAATCTGATGGTTCCATTGACAGGTATAAAGCTCGTCTTGTTGCAAAGGGATTTACACAGCGTCCAGGCTTAGACTTCCATTCCACATTCAGCCCGGTAGTCAAACCAGTTACTGTTCGGTTGGTGCTTACCATTGCGACGCAGTACAACTGGCCAATCCATCAGATTAATGTCAACAATGCATTCTTACAAGGAAGCCTTGAGAAAGAAGTTTATATGAGGCAACCACCGGGCTTTGAAGATCAAAGTCTCTCCACCCATGTATGTAAGTTGAATAAAGCAATATATGGCTTGAAACAAGCCCCCCGAGCTTGGTACAATGATCTCAAAAGTTATTTCCTAACTATTGGATTTGTCAAGTCCCAATCTGATTATTCTTTATTTATTTTGCATAAATTTGGATACACTGTTTATGTTGTTATCTTTGTGGATGATATAATCATCACTGGAAATCAGATTAGTGGGGTACATCATATAATCGATGGTTTTTCCACTCGTTTCTCCTTGAAAGACCTTGGACAGCTCCATTATTTTTTGGGAGTTGAGGTTATCTCTTGTACTACTTGTCTTTTTTTGTCCCAGCACAAGTATATTATGGATTTTTTAGATGATGTTGGCATGCTAGACAGGTAAAGGAGCTCCTACACCTATGACCTCAACTACCATTTTGACAGCTTCAGTGAATGATCCTCCGGCTGATGGTACTCTTTAGAGGCGGGTAATGGAAAGTGGCACAACTTATCCTTTACACGTCATGATATTGCCTTCACTGTTAGCAAGATCTCTCAATTTATGAACAATCCGCACCACTCTCACTGTAAAGCAGTCAAGCGATTACTCCATTATCTTCGTCACACCTGCCAATATGGCATACAGATTGCCAAAGCTCCATATTCTAGTTTGGTTGTTTATTCAGATTCAGATTGGGTTGGTGATCCAAATGATCGCACTTTTACCTCTGGCTATATCACTTTCCTGGGCAACACACCAATTTCCTGGGCCTCCAAGAAACAACGCTCCGTATATCGGTCCTCTACAGAAGCTGAGTATAGAGTTGTGGCTGCTGCTGTTGCAGAAATCAACTGGATCACAAATCTTCTTCATGAACTTTGGCTTTCACTTAAGGGAGTTCCACAGGTTTTCTGTGACAACATCAGCACCACTTACATTTGTTCCAATCCGGCATTTCATAGTAGGATGAATCATGTCGCCATTGACTTTCACATTGTTCGTGAACAAGTTTAGAACAAGGAAATTGAAGTTCACCACCTTCACTCAGATGATCAAGTAACTGACATACTCACAAAACCTCTTCCCAAAGCTTCTTTTGCCAGCAATTTTCCAAGTTGGGTGTTGTTGACACCACCAACTTGCGGGGGCGTAATATCGCATCAGATTTAGTAGTGTCTTCTCTTTAGGACTCTGTTTTAACTTCCTCCTTGTATATACGTTATAGATAAGTTTTACCTTTTTCTTAGTTTATCTCTTTGTTGTAGAACTTGTACAGAATCTATATATACTTAGTTTACACAATCAATAAAATACATCGTTCCTTTCATTCTACTGGCAACTTTATACTTTATAATATAGTCCTACTCATCAAATTAAATGCTTAAGAAAATAAAAGAAATGAAAGTCAAAATTTACCTTCTTGGCTCCTACTCATCAAAGTAAATGAAATAATATTTCAATTCTACTTTCTTAGCTCCTACTCATCAATTTAAATGCTTAAGAAAATATCACAAGAACTAAAATTTGAAGTTTTTTCTTTTGACTCCTACTCATCAAATTAAATCAAGTAAAATGTTGTAAACAATTAAGAGAAATTGTTGACGAGAGTTATTACTAATCCTCATGAAATCTTTTTTGTTTTCATCAATCCAAGAGTGATCGTTTAATTTATTTTTTTGTTTGTGGGGTTCTTTAATCTTATGGTTTGAGGTTTGATTTTTGTATAATTTTTTATCTTTATGATGAATGATTGATCTTTTTTCATTCTAAACTAGTGATGGACTGCAACAAAGAAAAGGCCACCAAGGCTAGAGGCATTGCTGAAGAGATAATGGAGAAGGAAGATGTTCCTGAAGGATCCTTTGAACTAGACCCTGCCTCCTTACCTACTTACCAATTAGGCATTTCTGCTTCCTCCATAGACCAAAGAGCGATAACTAATTTCATGGACTCTGTGAATTCTGCTGAAAACTGGGTTGCATCAGTACCAACTCACAATAATTAATAATAGATGCAATTTTGCTGTAAAACTCGGGTTCAGAACCTGATTCGGTACTGATGCAACCCATTTTTCAGCAGAATTCATAAAGTCCATGAAATTATTTGTCTCTCTTTGGTCTATGGATGAAGCAGAAACGCCTAATTGGTAAGTAGGTAAGGAGGTAGGGTCTAGTTAAAAGGACCCTTCAGGAACATCATCCCTCTCCATCATCTCTTCAGCAATGCCTCTAACCTTGGTAGCCTCTTCTTTGTTGCAGTCCATCAGTAGTCTAGAATGAAAAAAGATCAATCATTCATCATAAAAATAAAAAATTTATACAAAAATCAAACCTCAAACCATAACATTAAAGAACCCCACAAAAAAAAAGATAAACGATCACTCTTTGATTGATGAAAACAAAAAAGAACTCGACTTTGATTTATATACAAAAAAAAGACCGAGAGTTGACAAAGAAAATTACAGTGAAGCTGATAACTTGGGTTGTTTGAGAATGCAAATGAAAGAGGATTGGAAGCAAAGGGAGAGTGAAGAAATTTGTTTATATAGGAAAATTGTCAAGATTATGGTAAGACATTATGTCTTGATGAGTGGGATCCAGGAGGATTAGTAATTTCTCTTAATTGTTTACAACATTTTATTTGATTTAATTTGATGAGTAGGAGTCAAGAGGATAAATTTTAAGCTTTATTTGATTTTATTTGATGAGTAGGAGTCAAAAGGAAAAAATTCAAATTTTAGTTCTTGTGATATTTTCGTAAGTATTTAATTTGATGAGTAGGAGTCAAAAAGGAAAAATTTCAAATTTTAGTTCTTGTGATATTTCTTAAGCATTTAATTTGATGAGTAGGAGGAAGAAAGTAAAATTGAAATATTATTTCATTTACTTTGATGAGTAGGAGCCAAGAAGGTAAATTTTGACTTTTAGTTCTTTTATTTTATTAAGCATTTAATTTTGATAAGTAGGACTATAGGAGAGTAAATTTGGGATTTTATTTAATTTAATTTGATGTGTAGGAGTCAAGATGGTAAAT